CAGGTTTACTTCAAACGCCCGTGTCCCCGACCAAGTCCGGCCAACCGCTCCAGCACTCGCCCAAGAGCACGAACCTGGCGCAGAACAGCAATCATCAGCACTGCAAGTCGGAGCAGCGTAGACCGAGCACGTTGAACGTTTGCAACAGCCAATGCTCGTCGACCCAGTGCGGCAATACCCTGTCAGTGAGCAGCAGGCCTGGCTCGCGGCACAAGTTGAGACATCAGAATTCTTCCCAGGGTAGTTTCGACAGCGCCTCCCCTTGCCTCTCGCGAGGTTCGTCCTTACGTAATTAATTAACTTTCGGATGAAATTCCCTTTATCCCTGTATACGTACGTATATGTGTATATATACATATATATTCGTACCGAGCATCGATTCGTTCGTCGAATTTTTAAGGAGGAGAGAGAGAGAGAGAAAAAAAAAAACAACGAATCAATCCTTTTTCTTCGCAGATAGTAGTACGGAATTGTACACGGACAGTACAGGGATAGATCTGGAACATTTCATCGCGGAGACCATAAATCGTAATCAGAAGGATCGAACAGTGCTGTTGAAAATCGAGAAAGATCTGATAGAGTTCGCGAGGGACAAGCAGAAAGTCTGTCACAAGTTTCCGAACATGTCCTCGTACAACAGGATGTTGGTGCATCGCGTGGCCGCTTACTTCGGTATGGAGCACAACGTGGACCAATCAGGTTCAAGCGTGATAGTGACGAGGACGAAAAACATGCGAATACCGAACACCCGTTTCAAGGAGCACATAAGGGACGATTTGATATTATCCGAGGAGCCGAGGAGAAGCATATTGAAGAGGGACTCGAACTCGTTCGAGGACAGTTTCAACTTCAAATCGCCGGATAGATTGTCGGGCGATTATTGCCGGCAGAACAAGAGTTTCGAGGAGAGGGAGGAGGAGTACGAGCGCGCAAGGCGAAGGATATTTAAGGATAGCAGCGGGGAGAGCAGCGAGGTTACATCCTGGCCTTACTGGTCCTCCTCGGAAAGCTCCGACGCCTCTGCGAGGTATCGTTTGTTACATCCGTCGGATCACACGATCATGAGGTGAATATCCTGTCGAATGAAAGTTTTCTATTATTGCGTTTTCTATTAACGCGTCCAGTAATAAGTAACAGCGATGTTATATGTATGTATGTATATATATATATGTATATGATAGGCAAACGAAGCTCTTGAAAGGAGAATCTTTAGATGGAAGGGAATCCTGTCGGGGTTCGGTACTGAGACCATCCGTTTCCAAGTCCTTTAGCTTCGGTGGTTATACCAGGGGAATGCTTTCTAGAGGGGACAGTGTTACATCTACTCATAGTGCAGGAGCTCGCCTTATGAAGCAAGGTTCGCTTCTTAAATTCTTTTCAAATATTCTCTTCTTTCTCTGTACGTCTATCGTGAGTGCGTATGTGTGTATTTAAATTTTATAAAAATATCGAAATAGATCTATATAAATTAGAATATTGAATATGTTGCAGACTCAGGTGCTAGTATGTGTTCACGGCTTAGCCCTTCGAGTAGCGGTTATAAATCGCAAAGCCAGCGCAGCGATGCCACGATATCACCGTCTCCATCGCCATCTCCCGTGGCAACGATGACCTGCAGTCATACCCAAGTATCTAGTCAGGATCTCGCCTCCCCGGAACCGAATAATCAGACGGTAATGTGGGCGGTTACCAGTATATCGAGCGTGCCGCCGGGTAGCATAATTATTAATCCGCAAACGAATCAACCGTACACGAATCCGGATGGTTCGATTTATCGCTTCGATCCAGAGAATCCACCTAAATTTTATACATCTTCGTTGTCTCACGAGAACGAGAGAAACGATAACGTGTCGCCCGCGAAGATTATAGAAACATCCGAGCCATCGAAAATAACGGGTAAAAATGAGAATAGAAAGAGATCGCAATCCAACAAGCACAACGGTGGCAACAATGCAACGACAGTGACCCACGTGACGAACTCGGCAACGTCGCCGAGTTTGCCGTTCACCCCACCACCTCGAGATAATCCAGGACCATTGCGACAGCAACAGCAACAGCCGCAGCAGCAACAAACTCTAGTCAAATCGTCGTCGACGGTGCAAACTTGTAATCACAACCAAGCAGCTCAAACATACGCGACCTACGTACCTACCTCAGAACCGTTCAACCAGGGTGTCTATCCACCACCCCATGTGGGACAACAGACTGTGATGATGGCCCCCCATCCGAGTCAGAGTCAGGCGAATGTTCAAAACAATGGCCAGAGCGATGTGTTTAACCAGAATTCGGTTTACGCGAATTATGCAGCAGTACCTGTGCAGCAAGGACCAGTATCGCAGACAACGGAGATAACCGAATTGTCCGGATATTTTATGGGCATGAGCATCTACGATCAACGTGTAACTGGTGATAATCATTCTACGCCACCGCACTCTTACCCGCAACCGCAACCATCTACTACGAATCAAACGAATCTGCAAAATGTGCAGACGATGCCGCAAAATTATTGGCAACCACCACCTAATTCCGTACTGGTATGAACTATTACGTTATTCTATATATATATATATATATTTTTTTTTTGATATAATTTCGCATCTTTTATCTTTTGTATTATTTTCTAGCCGCAACAAACAATGTACTTCGTACCTCCGCCTGGTGCGGCACTTTCGGTTAGCCAAGGTCCAGGCGATAGACAACAGTTGCACCAGCAACAAAGATTTCCAACAAATTATTCTTTCAATGCACAAACTATGACTCCTCCGAGCCAATCGAATTGTAGGTAGATTTTCTAAGATTTTTCTAAATTATTATTTCGCACAATCGCGTATTTCTGAATTACGTAATAAATATTATTTGTTTTAACATTTTTCTTCTATTTTTTAGCTAATTACGTGGGTACTTATCCGGTCCCTTACAACTCGATGCCGGCTGTGACACCAGCACCAGGGGATTACACGTATCAGCCACCGGTTCACATGGTCCCTACGTACTATCCACCGAGTCAAACGACGATTCAACCACCACCTGTCATGTACAGAGTACCGACACCACCAAATACTCCAACCTCTAATCAGGTAAAAATAGTCATTGTTTTAATTTTAAAATATTTATTACGACTAGATAAAAGTATATATAAATATCATATCCTGTAATCAATACATAGATGCCTGGGGTGCCATTGATGTATGTCAACTCCGGCAGCTATCCACCACCAACGATGGTATCCAATGGGACTTTTGGTCATCAGGTCGGACACAATGGCACATCTCCAGCGCCTCCTGGAACTTATATGACTCCTGCGCTGGTTCCCAATCTCGTGTTTAGGCAAAATGTTCCCGTAAGTTGTACTATTGTACGAGAAAAAATCTTATATTATTATTATTATTACTATTTTCTTTTTCAGGTCGTTGCTGGTGTTCGAGCTTCAACGCCAGGTAATTCTCAGAAAACGAGCAGGTCGCCGACTCCAGCACACGAGTTGTTCGGAAGTGGGAGCGGGGACAGAAGCGCACAACCCCAACCACGCTACCCACTGCCAATGTATCAGGGTGTCCATATTGTCCAAGGTATAATATATATACGTTTTAAAGGAGCATTTTCATCGATCTACGGATTTTTGGATTTTTCATATAATCTCTTCACAGGAGATATGAGATTGATGCATCCCGCAGTGCCAGCTAATCCGCGATTGCAGTATGCGCCAGTACCATCACCACCTGTTGTTCAAGGTTGTCCACGACCGTATCGACCACCTTCTTATTCGTCGAACACCTCAGGCGCTGGTACACCCACATCGTTCGATGGGAGAAATCAGAAAATTCGTAAACAGAGGTGATTTCAGTTTCGATCAGCGAAAACATTTATTCGATATCGTTTGCAAAATATTGAAAAATGCGATTGCAATATTGAAATGGAAAAGAGAGATGGTAACGTTAATTTGTGTTTATATTATAGGTCCAAAGTAACACCGTTGCCACTAACAGGCGCGCGGCCCAATCTTTATCAGACTCCTTCCATGCCGTCGCTCTCGTCTAACGTTCCGAAAGATATCAGAGAAGGTAAGAACCGATATTACCGATATTAATCGGTTAGATGTTCGCTCGGTACGTTGCTTGAAAGTTTTGTTACTTTCTATTTTTGTTCCGCTTATAAAGAACGAAATGTGACACAATTTTTGACACGTTCTTGTATCTCCTTAAAAGCGAAACCTGTGGAAGACAATATGATATAAGGTACAGAACTTCAGTAATAAAATACTACGAAAAAAAAAAAAAAAAAAAAA